ACAATCCCCCCCCCCGCATACACTCCAAGGCTGGGGTCCTGCAGGCTTATATTTTCCTATTTTCACGTGGATACAGTGCTTTAATTATTTTAATTTCCAGTCGTTTACTAAATACACTGGAACTACATGACTGCCTGGAAGTGGCGTTGCAGAAGAACAGCAATAAAGAATTAACTGTACAAACATTTATCATCCCCAGATCAAACTCTCCTTGTGAGGCTCGGGCTTAACTTGTGGAGAAGAAAAGGGGGAGGAAGGGGTGGTAATGGCGGAGAGGGGTGCTTGTGGGTTTTTTATGTGTTTCCTTTTATTCCAGACGACCATATAATGAAAAGCCTTTTAGCCTTGGAGAACTACTAAATATTAAGCACAGCTTAAAATAGGGAGTAGCTTTCGAGATCGTTTCGTCCTCCTGTCATTCCTTTTAGGAAAAGGTCGTATCCCTTCCCTTATTTTCCCACTAGTAAAAGCTTCCTTTTTATTTTTTTAAGATCATTTTAAGGCGTAAGAAAATCCTCGTGCTTTACGTAGGAATGTCTTTTAAAAATATTTTATAGACCTCTTCTGTTCACCGATTTTGGAAAAAAATTATATTGATCAAGGTCAAACGCTCGAATTCTGACGTGACTCACTTCAAAGGTGTATTTGTGTGCCCTTCGAGCACATTAATACTAATTATCTCTCAAACACTTCCCCAAAACTCCTACTGCCTGTTTCAGATGCAAATCTAATTAACGAGCTGCCTTTGAGTAGCACACAGGGACAGCGTAATTCACTGAGCTGTTGAACCTTTTGCCTTCTTTTATATTTATTTATAGGTAGCTCCATCATATTTTGAAAGCGTAGGCAGTTGTGTGAAGCTACATGGTAGCGAGTGCAGATCTGCTGTAGCTAATGAGACTTACCAGGCTCCCGAGTTAAGAAACAGGATTAGCTCCAACTTCTTGCAAATGCGCTCAGGGACGTATATAATAACACTCGCTGGGCCCTACTTTGTCTACGTTAATTTAGAAACGGCTAAATCTTGGAAGACCTATCTAAATAATGCGTATTATTTGTAACTGTGAGCTGATTGATTTAGCAATAACTGTTTGCTTTCCGCACCGGGGACAAA